CATCCTACGTTTCTACGTGCCGTGTCTGACTGATGGTAAAGTTTGTGATTTATTTTACAAATCCTTATGAAAATAAAACGAATTTGTTGATACCATATAAATTTTTTGCATTTCTTCGGTTTAAGATGATTGACATACAAAAATCAAATTGTTATCGATTAAACAGTTTGTTTTATGTTTTTGGTATCAGTTATTATATATTACTTAACGATTTTTAAATTAAATTTTTCATTTTTAATGAGGTTTCCTTTTTCAAAAGAAACAGTAGAAAGAGAGCTCTCCACCCAGCCAGAAATTGGTTAATCAATGTCTAGTCGATACTAATTCAATGTCGATCGACATTGATTCGACGTTAATCGACCAATCTGCATTACTGGCTGAGTATTCGACACCATTTACAGTTTAAGTGCTGTGCTTAGAATAAGTACGTGTTTCACTTGTGGTGTTTTAGCCGTTTTCCATTTTCCATGAGCAAATGATCTCGTTGGTTTGAGAGTCTAACGACTTGCCGAGCAAGTTTCTGCATCCGCACACCTGTGTCACTGAAGAGGTCTTCACCTGACCGATATATTTTGCGATGCGAAGACGAGCTCGACATCGATCTCGAGAAGCCAGTAACATAAGTTCCAGTTACTGCTGTTTGAAATTGTTATTGTCTTTCTATGTACTATAATGCGTCGATCGTATCTAAAATTTGAGATATCGATGTTGTATATAGAAAATTCTTAAGTGCGTTTCGATTTATGTCGATTTTAATCTTGTCAGGCTTCAATATTTGTGATGGTTTAACATCTTTTTCTTTTTCCCTTCAACTCTCTCTTTTATTAACTTTAATATTTAAAAAATAAAGAAAAACCGTTTAATATATTGATTTAAATTTGTCCTCATTAGTTTAGTATATTAGACTTATACCAAAAGAATCTATTAATAAAAATAAAGATTGGTTTTAAAATATTTTAATTTAAGAGAAACGTAGACGTTTATTGGCGTGTTAGGGTGTATGTAATAAAGAAAATGGAGGAAGAAATAAAGCAGTTCAAAAAGAAATAAATTCGCGTGTGTTTTTTTGTATAATCGCTTTATTATTCTTTTTGATTTATATCATAAATCGTGTATCATTTATTACGTTAAAGAATAATGAAAATTATTCGCAATAGTAACTGATCCATCATTTTCCTACCAAATTTTTGTTGAATCTTCTTCGCACACCAAATATTATTCTCGCCATTCCTTGTTATTTGTCGTTATGCGTATATGTTTCTTATAATTCTAAATGATTGCATTTAAGTTTGCGGAGAACAATATTGTTTAAATAGCGAGTTAGAATATGTGATTACAGATTATCAGTTACAGTTATAAAATTATTTTTATTTCGCTTTAACAGTGCGAATATAAAGAAACGATTCGACGGACCGTGTGTATAAATCGGAAAATGGAAAGTTACTTTTTAAAAGTTACCGATGAAAAATTAAAATATAATATTTGATCGAGCCAAGAGACTGTGACATATCGTCAAGAAGAATAAAACGAGAATATCTGACCTTATGCCACAGTTTCTTGGCTCGATCAAAAATTAAATTTTAACACATTCTGATTTTATTACTTCTTTGGAATATGATTGAGACTTAACTAGCAATGCTAGCACATTATTTGACTGATATTAAATTTTAGCTTCAACTAGTTTTATACGTTCAGTCTTAATTATTATGAAGCCGACATCGATACCACATTACATATACACTGTTGATGACGATTTTACGCACTAGCTTTGCAAATTATATTCCTTTTATAACATTATCTCTGTTTGCTTTTCATTAGACTATTTATAATATTGTAATTCAGTTTTTTTTGTTTTGTACAGAGAAAAGTAATTAAAACGTTTACCGATAGATATGATATATGAATAAACTGTTATTTTTGCGCACTTATATCTGCATTGGCTCATTACGGCTTTTATTCTCTATATCAAATTCTTATTTAGTTCATTTTAGTTTTTAATTAATTGTTAACGATACACATAAATAATATTGTTATTATATATATAAATAACTTTTTATGTATATATTTTATAAATAACTATTTATAATAATGTACAACATCACATGAAATCACAAAAATTACGTCAAGTAACAAGATTTTTCACATTTTACTTTTTAAAATTGTTTTTTTCTACTAAATGTGTATTTTGTTAGTAATATCTGTATTTTTAAATAAAAAGTCATAAAATTCTTCACATATTAATTAAAAATTATATTTCACATTTATTATTTTCGCTTTTTATTGTTACTGATTTACATTTGTTATTTTTACATTCAAAAAGGAATAATTTATTAATCATGTTCTTAATTTGGGAAAAAATTTGGGACGTGTAAAGTGGGACGAAAAGTTAAAATTTGGAACTCTCTTCTAATTTGGAAAGATTGATCATTAAGTATATATAGATACACACATACACACATATTCATACATACATATAACCTGCTTTTATCTCTGTGCTTTTATTAAAACTTTAAACAACTATTGACTTTTCTTTTTTCATAGTGAAACAAATACGCATACAGATAACTTACGAACGATTCAGGGGTGCGATTAAAGGCCCCTAAAGGGGATGCAAGAGAGGCGGCCGCTCGTTTGTCTTAATAAAGTGCGTCGAAGTCACGCTCTTCATGGTGGTTGACTTATGGCCAGTCATCTGGTGGAGCGGCTTTTCTCATGGGGAATGACCTCTACTAGACCTTTTTTCCCCTTCATGCCAAAAAGGTAGTCTCGTTCTTCCTTCTCTTCTGATATTCACGGATACCCCCCGCGATCGTTAACCTCGTCGGCGGAGTCCATCAATCGAAGAGAAGATGTTGGTTAATGACGGCGATCATTCGTCATCGGGTAGATATCCATCCCTCGGACAATCGCTTGTCGAATTCGAGTCTGTTACAGAACTAGATATTTTCAACAAGGATTTCCATGATAGCTCATTGTTTTCTTCGAGAGAGTATTTTGCATCACGATTAATTTTTTAGAATTTACAGGAAATACATGTCTACTTAAAATTAATGTAAATGCATATAGTAAGACTTGATATAAAATATCTTAGAACTCGAACAAATTCAATCTAAAGTTTGAGGTTTAATAACGTTCCATTTAAATGATGATGAAAAATTGCCTGTTTGTTCTGATATGGGTTCTCATAATTCTTATGGAGTTGGAAATAAAGGAAACGATAAGTATCGCTCTACAGTGCGTCGACGCCTCCGGTGTGACGTTGATGATTTATCATTTATTTGTATCCACCGGCAAGAAAAGTGGGTCTCCCTTGTGACTGTGTAAACAGTGCATTATGGATAAGAACAGGTGGAACTCAAGTTGCCATTTAACTATGCCTATATCGATCAATTTCAAGAAAGAAAAAGCGTTACACGCATCCCTCGATGCATCAATCGATAGTAAATAGAAGCTTGCGTTTCAATTTGTGCTAGAAAAACCTTCAATATCGTGCGTAAAACAGTAGATATATCCATGATAAATGATACTTTTACACAATTTATCAAATGCGAATGCAAAATGTCTCATATACAATTGCATTACATGACGCTAATTGAAAAAGTATTTCGCTGGTTACAATGAATGTTTTTTACATAGTTATTTTTATACGCATATTTGATTAATAAAGTAAGACATTACTTAAACCACATTTGTCGTCATGAGTCGAGATAAATTAGATCCTGCGATCGTATTTTCTACTCTTCTTCTGAATGCCAAGCTTATTTCTAACTCATCACGCGGACTTTGCTCTTTTCAATTTGCTGGGATGGAAAAACATCAGAAAATGTATATCTCGACTTCATTCTAAAACGTCCTCTCCGAGGAAAATTTTAGTAAAAATCAGGGATTGAAAGTAACTCGTTACTTGTAACCCCATTATAGTTACTTTTTTGTAACGGACTGATAAAGACATTATCTTTTTTTGTAACTGTAACGGTAACGAGTTTTACAATTGCTTTTATTGTTAATTTTTATATCTTAAACCTATTTATGACAATTTATCTTTTGAATCTATTTATGATATAATCTTTGTATATTCTTAATCTTCAATCTTTAGCCAGTATTCATAATTCGTTCTTGAAGATTGTTTTAAGTAATGTCTTAAGATGCTAATATGGCTCTGTGATTTGTTTATGACATCTAAAAACGAATCACAGTACAGTATTACTATAAGAACAAACTTTATGGATACCATCGTTTAAGTTTCACAAAAGTAATGTCACGTGATAAAGGATTTAAGGTCTGTCCTTTATTCCCGCATTCTCTGAAGTGGTGCATGCGGTGCAATAAGTTGAAGCGAAACAAATATACGTTTGTTTCACTTCAACTTATTGCACAAGTTCAGAGAGTGCAGAAATAAAGGACAGACCATTACTGTAAAAAATATCACTTCAGTCGGATTGCATTTCAAGATCAAAATTTCCTAGATACGTATATATAAATTCATTCTGAAATATTATTATGCACAAAGTTCTAGCTCGGACTGAAAAAGCATTTCCCTTTTCAGTTGTGTTTTAACGTATCAATGTAGTGTCATTGTTATATTTACTGTCTTTACGAACACTTTAACAAAAAATATTGCAAAATTTTTTAGATTGATCTTGTTTTAACATTAAAAAGGTAATGGTAGAGTAACGAATCGTTACTTTTTAAGTAGCGGTAATTTTTTTAACTTGATAACGATCGAGAAACGATAACTAATTACTTTTAAAAATTCCTGGATAATAATGTAGCATGTCATACTTAATTTGCCATTTTTAATTTTGCACCTAGATTTGTAATTAACACTTCAAAAATTTTTAAATACTGACTTTTGTATAAATTAAAAGAATATTTATTTTTTATTATCAAAAATATTACAACTTCTTCGCGATCTTTTAAAAGTTAAATCGCAAACTGTCTCTAATTATAAACAATTAAATCAGCAATTTCCATCCACTGACACGTTGCTTGTTTCGCAGAAGCGGGTATGGAGCCACCGTCCTCTACGTCAGACATCGATAAGATACAACAGCCGGTGAAACTGATCTTATCCAGCACGTGCCATCATGCTTACACGTCCTGCAAGTAAGTTCGCAAGTTTTCGTTGTAGTAACCAAGACCAGTCATTGCAGACGAGATAAAGTATACGTGGTACGTTTTTGTTTACTCAGAAACGATCCGGAATGCAAGAATCTGCTGGAACCCGTTCTGAACCACTGCGACTCAACGACGTGCGCGAGGAACGAGTGCATGGAAGCGTTGCAGCATTTCTACAAGACCGCCAATCACAAGCATTCCGTGGAAATTGCCTTCTGCCTTTGCAGGTTAATCAAATAGACAGCAATGCTTTTTAGCCCTTTGATTACAACATAGTTAAGTTAGACGTGGTTCCGTATCCCTGTGTACGTACAGCTCGGAATTCGATTAAGAAACGTGAACGTCTTTTCGATGAAACAAATGTAGATCAAAACGATTGAGAACATATTCTTATTTAACAACGGCAAGATATCGAGGCGTAATAGTATAAGCATAAAAGAGCTATTACAGTGGCGTTTTGTCTCAAAAGATCTCTATTAGAGAAGCTATTAGAGGGGCGTTTCGTTTCAAAGAATAAATTAAAAAGAAACTATTATGTAATGGCACGTATAGTAACTAAAGGATTAATTCTATTATCTCACTAATTTACAGATTTTAAATAATTTTTAATGCACGAAAAGAAAACAATTTTTTAACGTATTTTGGGGCGCTGAATTCGAATCAACAGCTAGAAAAATTTCATTAGATCGAATTTTTAAGATGTAGCATGTTAGTTTTTAATATAGCATTTCTTTCCGAATAATTTAGGACAAGTAATAAGCAAAGTGGATGTTTCCATCAGAATAATAATTATAATTGAAAAATGTCATTCCAAGAGTATATTGGAACAAAAACATGCTAAACGACTACTGATAGGTTTTAATCGACTAAAGTTGTATAAAAACAAAAATTAAACACGTAACACTTATAATTTTTTTGCTAAACATATCTTATTAAAAAAACATTTTAATTTAACTTTCTATTTATATGTCATTGTCTTAGTGAATTGTTAATTTTGAATTATATAAATGTATATACTAAAAAGTTTAAATTCTCTAATTGAGAATTTAAACTTTATACTTCATTTTTATGTAATAAATTTTGTCTTATATTAGCTTTTATGAGCTTTTCTTATTACTTTGACTTTTTTAAATTTTAATAAAACTTTACTATATATACGTATATCTATTAGAAGAAATATCTTTTCTTAAATCTCTGAAACCAAACCTAGTGGAAATATTTGTCAAATTAAGCTTGAATTGGAAAATTACTACTTTAGGAACGGTTCATATGTTCTTGTACAAAATCTTGTAAACTACTGCTATTACATTTCTGATATTTATTGGTTCATTGTATAGCTTGTTCAGCTACTATATAATTTCTTTTCTTTTCTTATCTTTGTTATACTTTCTTTATATATATATATACACACATATATATATATATATATATACTTTTATTTAATAGATAGACTTACATGAGTTTTTCGTTTTTTTCTTTCTTATGGCTACGCCATATCGCCGTAAAGTATACTTTATCGTTTGGAAAGTTTATTGCATGCTTCGTGTCTCTCTCGCTAAGAGCATTCTTTTCAGCAGAAAGATTTTTATCGACATAACTACACTGGAACGATTGCCCTTTTCGATTGCATTCTGTCGACGTTGAATGTTTAATTAGCTGTTCATTGTCGTGAGAAAGTCGCGTTAAAATATTAACGCAGACGGTATGCAAGCGACTATGCCGCGGCACAATGCGCGACGCAACGTGAATTAATAACGGATTATTGTAACAGTAGTGGCGCAGCTGCAAGCGCGAAATGACGAATCAACTGTCGGCGCCGTCGTAAATTAATTTGGAATTAATCGAAGGACGCGCGTTGTTAACTCGCATTCTAATTACGTTCGCGCACGTTCGCACCGGCGAGAAATTTTTCAAAATTCTGCATATCAGGCAATTGAAGCCGGAGCTTCGAATCGCTACGCAAAACAATGCGTGCCCCGCGATACATATGGCCGAGTAGTGCCCGTTATATTGCATCCGGCGTTACGCGCAGCCGAACCATACCGATATAACGAAAAAGAAAACGCAAACACGTTTAACTGACAGAAATGCCAGATCATGTTCCCGATGGATCTCTGCGTCATGTATTCATGCAGCTGAACTCGGATGGAAGTAATAATGGGCACAATGCGGCAGAGAATTGGAGAGATGAATAAAGAATGGAGGGGACGCATGATTGCAACCAATTGTTCTTGGTGCATTATGAGAAACTAAGTTGACGTAATGACAAGCCGCAATTTCTTCTATGCATCGATATCTTACTGCAGACGCGATCTTTAATATTCTTTATATGTATAAAAAAAAACTTCCTTAATGTATACAGGTTAAAATTTTGAAAGGTAGGAACGTTAGCAAGCTAATTGTAACTTTTATCATATTTTTTTAAATTTTAAATAAAACAAGAATTTAGTCTTCTATTATGCTAATAAATCTTTTAAACGGTTGCAATAAAGTTAAAGATTGAGAAACTATTTTTAAAATAAAATTAGTAGATATCACAGAAAATTAGTAGATGAGGAACACGAGGAGGAAGAATTAATTTATATTCATACATTTTGCGTAAAAATAATCAAAGATCTTAATCTCGAGAATGTGAGGGAACAACGGGATTTTCGTGATTATTAAACTATTTTTTTTAATATTAAGCAATATTACGATCTTTATCCGTTATAGCACCACATTGTGGATACAACTCAATCTTATATTAATTAATAAATTACAATAATACGAAACATGGCTATTCAAGCCTTGCTGGAGTAGGTGTTCAAATGTCTTCCCGAAAATGTGGCTTTATGAAGAAGAAATAAAAAATTATTATATCCGTATCTCCTATCAACAATACATCTAAAGACTTAGTTGATTATTATTTTTTACTTTAATATATGGCAAACTGTATATATTCTTATAATAAATGCAAAATATCTAGAATATCATTCAAATATTTTCACCTATTTTCAAGAGCAGCCAACAAAATGTCATCCACATATCTAAAATAAAACGGTAGTCTGAATAATAGTTTGTTGGACGCTTCTTCTATCTTAGATCCCCTTTATAAATTTCTAGGTGTTTACTGTCTCTAAAGGCGTTCTAAGTTAGTAGATAGAATTTATTTATATCTTGCATTAGATAACCCAGTAATAATTTTTGTATTTATTTTATATCATTTAGGATAATCATATACATTACAATTAAAGGTTATTTTAGTTATTGACTGTTGTTTAAAGCAAAAGACACTTAGCAAGGCTCGAATAGCTTATGTTTCGTATTATTCTAATCTCATATTATGATAACTGCATTCTTCAGCAAAATTACTTCACGCTCATAACAATTGAGAGAAATTATTTCGCAGAAATTGCACGCACAAATTTTTCCAAAATATCAAGCGGGACAAATAGAGGCGAATAGAGATCCCGCAATGACAATTTCGACGAAATTTTCGAAGCAACCGTAATATTCCTCTTGCGCGAAAAGCTCGTATTTTTTAACGAGCCTACTTTAACTTTTAAGTAGCTTTTGGTTGCGACACAATGCGGAAACTTTCCGCTTCCGTTTCGTATCTTATTCTTATCCCACGAATCCTCGTTGCAGTCTTTCTCATAAAATCCTCTTTTTATCTATTTTGAAATAAGAACTGAACGACTGAATAGGAAAAAACCCAGGTAAATAAATAAAAAATACGCGTCTGATTAAAAGAACGAGAAATGTGCGCCACATTCATCTTTTGCCAATTAATGCCACAATTAACACTTCAGTTTGCCGTTTCTCGGTAAAACACTAATTGTAAGTACTATAATACTTGGATTGCATTAATTAAAAAATTAATCGAAAAATGAAGTCGTGAATTGATTGTTATTATTTCTATTTCTGTATCGTATATTTCAATGCAATACAAAAAACTGATTAGCATTTCAGCTGAAGCTAAAGTTGTATAATTAATTAAGCTATCGTTCAAAATATTGGTATATAATCATTAATGCTATATAAAATAATCATTTTTAAAAAGTATTATAATAACTTTAATATTTGTTTTGTTATACTGTTCGCTTCATTCGATAAATAAATCTGAAGTAAATTTTAATTTCTGTTATCTGTACATGTAGTGCAAACTTTATATTAAAATATTTTTCTTTTAACACCAATTATTTCTTGTTTTGGATAATACTACAGTCACAACTTTGTTGGAGTTTACTTCTGTATAAATAAAAGTGTGCTTTAAAGAATTTTTTAAATAACTTCCTGAATCTTATTATACACTCGTCTATGTTTTTCACATTGCAGGAAAACGGACAACAAAAAGGACGAGTGTATAGTGGCGCAAGAGAAAATGCACCCAACTTGCGCGCAACGCATAGACGGCGCCGAAATGCCAACGTGTCACAGTCTAGCCGAGACTTGCAAAGAGAACAGGAGTTGTAGGTGAGGCAGTGCGTCATATTCACGTTTTTGAAAATTTGCATGTTTCTACATGAACTATCCATACACAACGGATCATGCGCAAATGTAGAAATGTTGAGCAAAACATGTGAAAAGAAAATTCTGGAAACGAGTAGCAAATCTGACCGAAACAGGTACACATGTTTTAAGAACAAACATTCTTAATATTAACAGATATAAGCCTTATATTAACAGAGCCTTAATATTAATAGATATAAGACTATCATTTCAATATCATTTTACCATAACTGTATAACCAATTATAAAAGCTTTTAACAAGGTTTTTAATAACTGCTAATTTTGTCTTAACAAAGATTCTGTTGAATATGAAACCTCTGTGAGATAAAATAGTTTTCTCAATGCATAAGCGGATTCATTTAAAGCGATACTCATATACATTGCCAAATCTAGAAGGTAAGAACATATCATTTCATCCCTCATAGTCCTGCATTCTGGACGGACGTCCTCTTGACTAAGGAAATATTGCATTAGCGCGCGTATAAATCTTGTTGAATCGCGATTTAACTTTAAAATTGAAAAAGTTCCGGCAAAACTGCGAGAAAAAATAAGGGACGACGTGTTTGCGGTGTTTAATCGGGTGCTCCCCTGGTTTACTTAGCGAGATAAGATTGCGTCGTTCTAATTGGACATTATTATTTACGTGTCAATTTTGTTCCCGCTTCCATTGCACGGTTTTCGCTCGTTGCGAAGAATTTTACAAAAAAAATATGAGGACAAAGGTAAAGAGACGTCGCTTTGTGCGAAAGAATTTATTTTTTAAAATAGTAACTTTCCATGGAAGATACATTCCGATTTAGCATTTTGATCGATAAATATCATGCATGAAATTGCTTGAAAATGTTATTAATTGAATCTTATGTATAAAGTAGTATACGAATATCAATTAACACGAAGAATATAGAGTAATTGAAATTGCGTATACCATAAAAATATATGCTGTTTCCCTCAACGGACCAGAATACAAACTATGATCAAACATTTCAAAGTAATGCTGGAGGGTTAATTTATAAAAAATGAGTATATATATTCTATTCTAATGTAGAAAAAAAAAGTTTTGCAAAAATAATTATATTCATGATTATAGTCTAGTAGACCATAATCACGAGTATAGTAATTTTTTAATATATATATGGTTCACAATTAAATTAAAAAATTACTTCCAACCGTTTTACTGTAAACTTGTGTAATTATCTATAATTATTATCTGTTAAGTTAATAAATAGTTAAGAAAACAGTTATTCCCTTTCTTGAAAAACTTTTTTTTTCAAATTGTGGTACTTTTGAAGGGACCTATATAATGATATTAAATAATATACTTTTTTTGTAGAGTACTAGTACATATATATATGTAAATTTGAAATTGATGTAAATCTGTTGATTTTTACTTTATTTTAGTGCAAAAAAATTAATTAATTTTGAAATTATCGAAATCGTTTGCAAACTTTTATTGTATATTTTTCACTGTTCATGAACATTATTGGATATGTCACAAATTATGTAGTTATATCATCACTTATTTAATGATAAAATTTCAAACTCAATAACGAAAATTTAAATATTATGTGCAGAAGTAAAATGCTCTTCTCGTTAATAAATACGTTCAAAAAAACAACGTGGGTAACGGGGGATTAAAATGGACGAAAAGGAGATGCAATTGTGAGCGATGGAACGTGTGCAAGCGCGTCGCTGATCGATTAAATTAAAACACGCGTGCATGCACGCACGTACGTATGCACGGTCCGATTCAGCGCTTTAATTGATTTATCGCCGAGGATGAACGAATCCATTTTTAATTTTGCTATTTAGAGGTATCTATATGCGACTTGGAAAAAAAAAACGATTAATTGCTGCGTGCCATAGACGCTTTGTGAGTCAAGATGCATTTGCACGCTTCGAAGTGTCTCTCTGTAGCATTTATTTAAATACTTTTTTAACGATTGCTTGAATGCGCCTATTTATTTTTATAATAGCAGTTGTTTGCAAGCAAACAACTGCTATTATCACGTAATTCGTAATTAACAGAATCAACACATTGCTCTGAGTATCATGATTAATTAAATTATTGGTTAAATTATTAATAATTCTTTTATTTTTAAATATTTCTTTTATTTTTAAATATTTTAACTACTTGACTATTAGTATACAAACTATTATTACCTTTTTTATTGATTTAGAACTTTTATTTGATATAGTTTTCTGGCTTTTAATGCAATATGTAAGATGTATAACAGTAACATCTCGTAATTGAACGATTTAGTAAAAGTTATGTAAAGAATAAAATTTTTATTATTTGTGTGTGTATGTGTGTGTGTGTGTGTGTGTTGTAACAGCTTTTACGCTATCCATTGTACGTTTATCTATTTATTATTTATCCAAACAGTGTTAAAAACTTCGCTAATGAACTTCAGTGCTTTTTGAATTTAGACACTTGTTTGACTAATTTAACGACTCCGTCATTACCTTCATTTTAAATATAAATGAAAAACATTTGATTTCTACGTTTATAATATACAAACGTAGTTTAATAGTATCTACGTAATGATCTTATTGAGAAATCATGATCGATTCAGATTAGAAATTGAATTTGCATTGTTTCTACATCTAATTATAGAAAATAAAATAAATTTACGATATTAAATCTCATAGGATGTGGATAAATAAATTTATTTTAAAATAAACGATGCGTTTCTACTTATTATTTAAAATATTAAATATTATTCTATATGTATAATACATTTCTCTATCTCTATATTTTAAAAAATAGAAAAAAAATACATGTATAATATTAAATAATGAAAAACTTATCATTCATAAAGTAGACAAAAATAAGGAAATTTACAAAATAATAATTTTTTTATGTAAAAATATGCACGTTTTAATTTTGAATAATTTTGCAAATTGTTATAATTGAGAAATTAAATACTGTAATTGAAACGCTTCTATGTAGAAACAAAACTCATGTTTTATTATATGTATATATTTATTTGCCACCATCCCTGTGATCAATGAGAATACCCGCGATTGGTCATTGTTACAATATTAGTCCTTTTGATCATTTAGTATTAATATCACTATATAGTGGTCACACAGGTATACAATTCAGTGATTGTTACAACATCACTTATAATTATTGATCCCACAGATACTTTTGGATACCTTTTTAATTAAAGTAATTATTTATCTCGAAAATCAATCAATTTGTCAATTAAATCCGTTTTATATTTAATAATTTGTTAAACCGTCATTTATATTTGCAGATGATTATTGATGTTTTAATAGAACGTCCATGTTTAATTAATATACGAACATCAGTCTTTTCATTTTGTTTACTGTTAGAAGAAATTAGTGAAATGAATATTACTATCTGCTTTTTGGCATTTAGTAAATTAATTTTCTTTTAATATGGATAAATATATGTTTTGACATTATTTTAAAACTGGCATGTCGAATGCAATAATAATTACGAGTAACTAGCGCGAAAATATTTATCATTAATATGTAATTCGCATTGATGTATAATTATATTTAAAAAAATTAGCGTAAGTACAATTTTGAACAAAATAAGGTTCAAATCTAATTTTAAGGTTAAAGTTTAGTAACTCTCGATTGTGTAAAGAGTACTAAAGGGTACTACTAAATAGGAAAAAGGTAAACTTAAACTTCGAAAATTACATTCAAATCTTATTTTATTTAGAATTGTACCATATTCGAAGTTGTACTACCTTATTGTATTAATATATGTACACTGAAAAAAACGATTAGTTGCTGCAACAATATAGATAGTAAAATATGGCATAGCATTTTTATATGGTTGCTGCAGCCATATAAAAATGCCATATTTTACTATTTAAATTGTTGCAGCAACTAATCTTTTCTTTCAGTGTACCTATAATAATTTTCTAAATATAATTAACTATGCATATCAATGTGATAAACAATCTTTGCGCCACTTACGAGTAATCATTACAGCGTTCGACATGCCAATTTTGTCATAATTTTAAGCATTTTTTCGGCAGTTCTAATAAAAGAAATAAAATAAAAAATTTTCGAAATATTATGCAGTCTACTTTGATTTACCTTTCAAAGTGAACTTCAAAAATTTTTTATTTTATTTCCTTTATAAGAGCCACTCTAAATTTAATTGATCATCTATTCTATGTAATTGATATCCTGGTATTTTTATTTTTCTAGACTTAGACTAGAGTATTATGAACAGAGTTGCGCGGTCGACAGCATGACGAAGAAATGCGCCGGACCAACCTCCGAGTGCAGAAAAGCGATGCTGGGCATTCTGGGTACTGAACTTCATACTAATTGCGCTTGTAAGGGCACCGAGCTTAACCAGCTATACGGCTGTCTGGGTTGGCAGCGGCTTCTCTGGGTGAATCCTTGCGTAGGTAAGCGGAAAATTCTGGGACATTCATTACTCGCGTTGAGGACTCGGTAACAACAATTTAGATTAGGAAAGTTAGGTTTTACGATTCATTGTTCTTTGATAGACAACTGGTACAGAGAGAAGAAAAATTATAGGAAATAATAGATATGTTGTAAAAGAAATATGTTCAAGGACTTCAAGGTTATTGTAGAATTTCACCTTATAAAAGTACGATAAAAATATATGAAAGACAATAAAGCAATACGATATTATTGGTCTACTTTTTTGAGGTTAAAATAAAGACTGCTACAAAAGAAATAAATATTATTCTTTAAAACAGTTAACCTACTTTGAAAATAGCAGGTACACTTCAAGCAAGTTATTTGAAAACGTGGTAATCTCGAAATCGATATTGAATCATCCGGATTATATAAAAATAATCGCAAGCTGCACACTATCTGGTATTGGAATGTTAATTAATATAGACTGATAATATATATATATACTGTTCCAATGTTCGATCTTCACAAATGTTTATCTCACACAATTCTATCAGCATAAAGAACGATGTGACGGTATTCCATTTTTCATTAAATGATATTTTATAACAAATTCTTTTTGCATTTATTTACTAAAGGATATATTTATTTGTTGTTATTTACAGTAAATGAATATAAAATATTTAAGTAACAAAATATGATCTATTATATTAATAATTTTGATCTAATAGATTTTTGTAATTTTCTAATTTATCATTGTTGATTATTTCACTAAATTATATCAGTAAATTAAACTTATAAGGAAAGGCTACGTTCTGCTCATCACCGATTTTGATCAAACAGCATTTGCAGTGATGTTAAAGGAACCTACCAAGTAAACACCTGCAAAGCCGTTCCTGCTAATTAGCTTTGGAAGCCGAGTAATGAGCAATTAAATATATACCTAGCAAAAATCTGGAAACAGTCTAATGTCTCGGAAAGTGTGCATTTTTTTAGAAAAATATCTTCGATAAAAGTTATAAGGTTTAAAAGGATGTATTTACTGGTTTAACATCATCAAGGTCAAATAGAGTTTTTAAAATGAAAACTCCCACTTTCCATTACATATTCTTGTAGCTCATCTCGAAAGCTTTTCAAAACACTGTAATAAAATATTTAACAAGAGCTAAAATATTAACAAGAGCTTATTTTTTTAACTAATATGATTTTAATTTTTACAATTATATTTAACTTCTGATTTACTAAAATGTTCATTAATGACAAATTAACAAATTACGGCCGGAAAATTACTAAAGAATTTACTTTGGTGCTAATTTCTATTCTGCTAGGTCACCGAATATATAAACATTATGGTACATAATTAGAACAGACCAGAGCTCTATGATATTTTGCCGATGCGCTCGGCATGATACACTTCTAAAACGCAGTAGGAGATGCAATTTCTTCGTATCTAAATGACTTATCTACCGACTGAATGCAGTCCATTGCATTTGCCATGCTTTACAACTCGACGAAGTCGGGAAAGATCGATAAGAGCTAATCTGTGTCGTTTGTTCGACCGATGTAATTACAATTCTACGAGTGGCATCACCATGTAGTTGCACAGATCGCCATATCGCAAATCTAATCTTTTCCCTGAATGCATCATTCTTTTTGAAATTATTCCAGAGGTAAAAAAGAATTATTTAATCAATCGTTTAAAATACATGTTTAATGATAAACGCAAAAAGTAAATATCTTATTTAGTTATTTTCAATTTATAATTTGACATTGGACAATTTGTAATTAAATCCTTAAGATACTGCAAATACTATTGAGATGCACGATTTGCTTTAAAATAGAAGACTCAGTCATCGCCGTTTTTTGTGGCGCATTTATAAATACTGATAAACATAATCTATTTCGTGAAAATAAAAGTTGCAGTCGTCGCTGCAGCTCGTAAAATATTATTACGCGCATCTTACGTTCCCTATTATTGCTGTACGCGTCTCGCGAGAGGAGAGGCATGCGGTGCCCCTTGAAAGTGTAATCACCCCGAAGCCCCACGGAGGCTGAAATATTTCACAGCAGCTGCGCCGCCGGCGATACGGGACCGGGCGACTTTCCCGATACTTTCATACTTCCGCGTCGGATGACTACACGTGTACATTCAACTGCAATTTTACAGGCTCTCCGTTCGGCACTTTATATTGCTTAGCGGTTGTTATTTGCGGCCACACGTCCGTTTCCCGGTGCGCGGCACGACAGTGAGGGAGAAAGTATTAAGCCCAAGTTACTCCGAGGCGACGATGCCGATTCGAGTTGGCAATTTTTTTGTTCTTATTATTGTGCCGTGAAATGTTATAAGTTATAGACGGAAAGTGAAAGCACATCCCAGCATGGGCAATCATAAAACATAGAATCGTGAATAATTTTTGCGAAGAAGTTCTGCGACAGTCATGAAATTTAATCGACAAAGGCTTTCTAAATAGACAATAATAATAAGAAGCATATAAGCCAACGCGAAAACAATCTTTATAAATTACAATAGTAGATGTCTAAGGAGAATTATTTAATCAATTGTTCAAAATACACGTTTAATAAACATAGAAAATAAATACCTTATTTCCTGTTTAAATGTCTATCTTATTACAATTGACGTTTCGGCCATTTTGTTGCGTCATCTTCAGTATTTAAATTAAAATGATTACATTTATAACTTTTATAATTTAAAATAGTTTTACCGCAAAAATACATTTTTTTGAGACTTAAGCAAATGCTCGCATCCATTAACTCCAAAAGTTCCTTTTTATATTTGTATTTGATCCATGTTATTATAATCGTCTTTGTTGCTACAAACTAAAATTACTCGTCGCAAATGATCTCCACAAACAATTTAACGCCCGTTAAACTTCTCGTCAAATTATGTCCATAAGAGAAGATTCTCCCGAAAGAAAATCATGATGTTCTGAATTTACAGAAGACCCAATTCCTAATGGAATATCCAAAAGACTTCAATGAAAATTCATTAACTAATGACTTTACCTTCGTTGCTCATAAATCTGAAATATATGTATGGAGATATTAATTAATTGTGTTGTCTGCTAGCAATGGTGAATGACGAAAGGAAATAATTAAATTAACAATCGAAGGTATCCGCCAGGAAACTCTATCAGACAATTAATAGGAAGACTAACAAAAGGAGAGGGAAATTTCTCTAAGTAATAGGGGAGATAAACAGACAAGTTTTATATGTAACATTGATGTGCATTATTAAATAATATATTTTATAATTATTGCAACTATAAAACATGTACATTAATTCTACACATATATATATAAAGGAAATAATTAAATTAACAATCGAAGGTATCCGCCAGGAAACTCTATCAGACAATTAATAGAAAGACTAACAAAAGGAGAGGGAAATTTCTCTAAGTAATAGGGGGGATAAACAGACAAGTTTTATACGTAACATTAATGTGCATTATTAAATAATATATTTTATAATTATTGCAACTATAAAACATGTACATTAACTCTACATATTATATATATATAACTCATCACCTTTATAGTTGCTATTAGATATTTTTTTCTGAGTAAAAGATTGAGTTATTTGTATATTACCTTTCAACGTAATTCTTAAATTGTAGTCTGACTCACGTTTACAATGCTCATGAGCATTTTTCGTTTGTCCTTATTTGATAACAACAAGAATGAAATGATTCCAAGAGCACGAATCGGACCACATCCTTATTCGATTTCGTTCTTACATCGTTTTGAGAGGGTTATTCTTCTGATTACAGTGGAGTCGCAGAAGGACTACCACGCGCGTAGAAAGCACCATCATTCGCGAACGACAACAGCGAAGACAACGACGGCGGCCGTCGCATTAACGACGAGATCACCGGCGAGCACGACGGCGACCACCGCAGTCGAACAAGTGGAAGATAATCAAATACCGGAAGTGACGAGGTGGCCGACCACCGAACCCACGGAAACTTGGGAAATCACAACCACCACTATAAGCACCACTCCGAGCACCACCACAACCACCACGCCGACACCACGTGAGTGGATAGAGTACAAATGTATTCAATGATTATGAATTTTCTATGTAATATAATTAATTTGTTACGTAATATAATTGGTGCGTAATACATTTGGTATGTAATATCCCTTGATTCTCTCGGGATTATATCGAACATTTTGCTGACAAATTATTAACTACTTTTTCAGTTTGATTTTTAGGAGTACGGAAATATTGAGATAGCTAACACTAAAAAATAGACGATCTTTACAAATTAAACTCTGAAATACATTTTATACGTAATATAAACTTGTTCCTCGTAAATTTTATCGTAACAGCAATTTCATCTGGAAAACTTGATTGGTTATTATATATTTATTACTGAAAATTGAATTTATCGTGATATCTTTGAAAGTTTACTATTAAATTTTATTACAATGCTAAGGTTCGTTTATACATATATTATCATATTTTCATAGTGCTAATTTTTTAGCAGATATTTATTTTTTAAGAGATTTTTAAAACTGTAAATTTTCAAATTCTTGTTTCTAATTCTTTTTTATCATACCTATATGTTTTATACATTCTATGTATCCTATATTATTTTTTAATTTAAGCAAACTGATTTTTTTTGTAAATAAAACTTCGTTTATTATATTTTTTATAAATAAAACTTCGTTTATTTACCAGTAGCTTAAAAAAAAAGAATTTTTAATCTCTTTTGCATCGAGAAGCAAATTAGATAGATCGCCTCCGGGTGAGATACGTTCGAAAAAGAAGTTTGTAAAGGACTGGAGAAATAAACTGGCGAAAAAGACAGCTTCTCACGTCACTTTCTTTTGTAGGCTTCTGCGTGGTTCAAAGGTCGAATACACACAGTCAGCAATACATAAGGGAAGGCAAGGGCAAAAGGGTGAGTCATTTGCAATCTCCCAAGTCTCTCGCGATCGCCGTCGCGACGCAAAGCGTTCACTGCCGTCACCCTCGAGAGCCGATACTTGCAAGACAAAAAAGAAAAAGCGTGGGTTTTGTGAAACCTTTTCGTGAACGTCATACCGGAAAGCGTGGGCGAGAGTATCAGCGAAAATCGGATATTTACTGCACAGTGCATAGTAGCGAATTTTTATCGTACAGAAATGGAAGAGGGAAGGAACGGGAAATTGTCCACGACTTCTTCACAACTTCGCGATGTATCTCTTTAACTCTTCTTATTGATGAGAAATTTCCTTAACTCTAAGAATAACTTAAAGAGTCTTAATTAATTGTATCAAAAGAAATAACTATGGCAATTAATGTTAATTATTTTTTGGACATTTTTATACTAGATTCTATTTTGACAAATTTGTCGATTAATGAATTAAATAAAGATTATTACCTGAAGAAAATATATATAGATAAAGCATAACTTTTTGTTATAACAATTTAAAATGTGAGTATTTAGATGATAAATTAGTATCACATACTAGGTATTCGATCTATACATTATTCCTTTTATACATTCTTTATACACGCATATACTGAGTGTATAAATAAGTTTCCGGAGTTAATTTTAAATAGTGCTAACAAATGCGTATTTAAGTTTTTGTGCACAATTATTTTTTTATTAGTAAGGTTAACCAACCTGTATTTTGAATTTGATATGATAATTCGCAGTCAGAAAACTTTTTTATTAATTTAATTAAAAATGAACTCTGAGAAGGTGCACATTTGCATGCTTCGCTATTTTTATCGCGAATAAAATCGTCACTGAAGCAACCAGAATAAATTGTGAGACTTACACTTATCAGATATCAAAGAAGAGAAATAGTAATCCAATCCCTTGAATTAAATAACATTTTTATTTTTAACTTCCATGTGTCAAAATGTGAATCAATTCATTTCTACAGTTCTCAAAGTAATATTTCCATCAAAGTGATACGATATTTCTCTTCTTCTCCTCCAAAATTTTCCTTTTTTCCTTGCTTTATTTTGAAATTTTCCCGTATTTTCTTTTCCGCAAAAAATTTTGTTATTCCAGATTTTATTATTTTAAGAATAGATCACACATTCAAATTCTTTGTTTTAATAAGAAATTTCGGAAGACTCATATTCAAAGTATTTATTTTATCTTTTTAGAATTAATTTATTAATATTATCCTCTCAGATTGAATAAATGCTATTTTAATTTAGAATAAAGAAACAGATTAGACACAGTATTCAATAAAATTGATTACAAATGTATCTTTAATAATAATAAAAACAAATAGCAAAGAACATCTCTTAAAAATAAAAGTCACAGACGAATCAATTTTTACTGTTAGATAAATTTCGTGATAGATTTTTAGTACTGGTAGTATATGTCGGAACATCATCTATAAGATGTTTTATAACGTGTGAGCGTAACTTCAGAATTGAATTTAAAGCACAAAAATAGTACAATACATTTTCATATAAACATTTATTCTTTTTTACCTTCTCGATGAAGATAGATTCACGTATTTTACGTAAATTACGTGGGCAAAAATTCATTAAAATGATATCCATATGTAATGTATCATGAATGACATGTTATCAAAATACCAAAATTTCAACATGGTTTGCATAGAATAAAAATTGATATAAATTTATTCACGTGAATTCCATGTATTGTTATCTTCTAGTTCTATCCCCATTATATTTCATCATTAATTCTACGCGGATTATATATGTATATTAAAACCTATATGGAAGAATTTTACGTATATCTACGTAAAATTCATGTTGAAACTTCGAGGAAAATTTATTTTGATTGTGCAATAAAATCACAATGTTACATTTATGTGGATATCATGTCAATAAATTTTTATTTATATACAATAGTTTACATAAAATACGTGGATTCTCAACGTAAACATCACGAACGTCATTTTTCATTGGAAAAAAAATTGCAAAAACTTATTTATATACTTAATAAGTAACACTTTAACAATTTTTACAATTGCGACAGTCATTTTTGAAATATATATGGATATAATTATTGATTGCAACGTATTTTACTTACGCAGCTTTATCGTGAAGACGAGCCCGAATGCTCAGAACTGTGTGTCTGTGCTGAAGGTGAACAACTCGTTTGCAACACCTTGTGCGTCGAAACGTTACCCTGTAAGACGGATTTCGCTTTCTACAATCATGAAGCGCCAGCCTACCAAGCGCATCGAGGTCCTTGCCTTTGTTATAGCGGCGGCTTTATATGCATGCGGCCTTCGCCCGGTGAGTAATTATCTCTCTCATAATTATGATGCCATTAAATTACAGTAGATTATTTAGACAACACTTTCATTGAACTCTTTACAAACCAATAACTTAAATGCTATTTTTACAAGTTATAATATAGATATAATTATGCGATTATGATTTTGTTTGCTTTATAAAATTAATTAATTAATTAAAGTTTTATAGGAATATCTTATTCCATATTTTATCTTGTAATTTAAATTCTGACAAATTAGGAATGTTTTTATAATAATCAATTCAATAAGTATAATGAAAATGGTTATATTAATAAATAGGGCTTCTGCTACTACGTTTTATATGTTTACATTAAATGTACTTAATAAATGTCTTTTCTCTTTTTCTTCTGAACTCGACCGTAGATTTGATTTTACGACGATTTTCGAGTAGTCCGACAGAAAAGGATTTCTCTTCTCACAATATAATACCAGCATTGTATTATTTGCGCAGACACATATAGTATACCGCACGGGGTTTTCATGTTCCTGGGATACAGCGAGAAGGACGAGACCTTATTGAAGCAGTACAACAATGTGACCGTGCTGGACGCGGTGTCATCTCTCGATAATTTCATGAGAAAGGAAGTCAATAATCAGGTGAGGCGTTGCCGTCACATTGTTCCTATTGATCGTTATAATCTCGACTAGATGACACTTCGAAATTGTCACTCGTTGATTAACACCGTACGCGCGGCTTACGGCTCGATGGAAATTTCGCTTAAATTCCAAATTCGAGAGATTATCCTGGCACAATTTGCCACAAATTCAATGACCCAGAAAAGAATTTAAAATCAGTCGATTATTCCGAGGTTTATTACATCCCGCGTCGTTTCGGCGGCGAAGGAGAGCGTTCCGTGAAATTCCCAGAATGCAATTAATGCGCAGCATCTCCGATCGGCGCGTGAAATCCCGATAATGAGAAATGTCAATAAGAAATGTAATGACTCGTCAAACTGCGCGTCTATTAAAAACTAAATCGGGCTGCGCGGAATTTAATAAAGCCACCATAATTGTAGCGACGAACGACGCGCCAGTGTACGTATCTACCTTCCCCAGATCAACTCTCCCGTCTTCTATTTACAGACAGTATGCACACTCTTCTTGTACAATGCGACCCGAGAAAACGTGATTGCAGTGGCACGACTCGGGACCGACAATCCACCCTTAAATAGCAGCCAGGCTCAAAGTCTGCAACACCTGCTACGCGTCAAGGTAAGCGAATCTCGAATGGACCTTTTCGCACTGCATGGAGAAAATTGAATACCTTGGTACGAGAGCTAGATAAAGCCACAAAATTTTTTGAGAAACCGCGAGACAAAGGAAGACACACTCGAGAGAGACAGAATCTTATTATTCTACTTATTACCTTTTCCAAAGCCTCGAGTAAATAGAGCTTTCAGTCATCACTTTTTTAAAAACTACATTAACACATTCTGAACTTAACACGACGCACTATAAGCGCTGCATTTTTAAAACTTTGTACATTACAACATACGTATTGATCTAAAATATATATGTATAAGACTTATACTTAAATAGAAATATTTATCTCTTTTATTCGTTATCTTCTTAATTATCTTACACTACAAGTACTTTTTTATTCAATATAAATGACATAATACTTTGAATCTAATATGATATCACATCTAACATGATGCAGCATCTAACACGATGTCTCACGTGAAGTAGTAAAGTGGATTAAACTAATTCGAGAAGTATCATTTTGCAAACTTTGCAATGATTAACCTTACATTATGTATGCATAGTGTTTTTTAAAATAATTACTTGCGTGAGACGTATGATTCCAATTTTCCAACACAAAGAAAAATACTGTCAGCAAGTAACAATTATTTTGTTTCAAGTATTTGATACAAAAGTTCATACATCCACAAATCCATCACAAGTTCATCACAAGCATTAAATTTATTCAAAATATATTCTGAATTCACTAGTAAGTTTGATTCTTCAGTCAAGATCATTAAATTAAAATAAATTTTATTTACTTATTATATAAAGTCGATCAATTTTCGACTAATTTTATAATATTTATAAAAAATTTTAATGAGATCATAATCAATGAAAATCCCCGAATAAATATGCATTTGCGTAAAAAAACAGGTCACTCTTACACGCGTTTATGATTGCTAGGATCGCGACGAGATGTTTGGAGGTGTGCTTTACAAACAACATAACAATTTACATGATGCCGCTCCTGCGAAGCCAATACCGTTCATATATAAAGCACCTCTAAATAGAGATCCTCTAATCGGAGACTCATAAGAGCGTATCATCTAACGTGGCAACATCCTGTAAGTGAGATAAGATATGTTATCTCACTCTATATACAGTGGTGCTAGTAGTGAGGTCTATGTACATGTACATATCAGAATAAGCCTTTGCTATGCTAACATGTGGAGGACTGTGCAAGAGTGAATGTTATGCAAGTTGGTGACTTCTACCTCTCTCGCTTCAATGTAACGTATTAAAACTTGCATAGCTGTCATTCTTGCAGTTAGTCACCATCACTTAAAAGCTCACTCGAAAATGTCGACCCAATCAAAAAGTGATTCTCTTATTAAAAAGCTAGTCTCTGATTAGAGAGTCGCTATTTCAAAGCATCTTGCCGAGCTCCTAGCAACCGCGAACACGTGTAAAACTAGATTACTTCTTTACACAAACGATTGTTCATTTGGGAATCTTTATTAATTATTATTTATTATTATTTCATTAATTCTTTATTATTTACGTGTCCGGGATACCTCAGCCTTATAAATTTGTTAAATGTATAAATGCTTGTACATATTGTTATATTTAGTATACATTTTTTACTATTTAAAAAATCTTTTAACAATATCGTTTCATTATTTAAAATAAATTTTGACAGCATTAAAGAATTAATTGTTATTTTATTAATTATTATGAAAATCATAAAATGGTTCAGAACTTTTTGATTCAATTTAACCTGTTCTATCTACTCATTATAAGATACCTTGTAGATTGCTATTACTTTGAAAGTTTATAACATGGTGCATTAAAGTACAGGACGACAAATGTAATATCTGGTTCAAATTTGTAATACGTTTTAACGATGTGATGTAATCTCTTCCTGTTGGATTTGTATTTTATTGCTATTTCTTTTAATTTATAAAACATGTAAATACTAGGTCAACTTTTAAGTCTTTACCGTGTTTGCATTACGTGTAGGATTGTACTTCCAGAATTTGCAAGGCCTTTGAGGGTCTTTCCAACAGCAAGAAAAGCTCATTGCGTGAACGACGGCGATTCGATACACGCGCGTGCGTGCAGCCGACAGGAAGTCGGTGCGAAAGGGCGATAACGAGTCCTCGCGAAAGTTTTAATTTCTCGGCGAATCTCGGCGTCGTTCGGGCGGAATTATCGCGATTAATCCGCTCGTTCCTTGCCGAATTTCTACCCTTCGCGCCGCGATAGATCTCTCGGCAGCCGGGTGCAGATCGCCGATCGATCTCCAGGTTATTGCACGCGAGAGAATGCAGCCTTACATGTGTCCGGAACATATAACGCGTTCGCTTATAATGCGCACAGGGCGATTAAAACTCTGTGATTCATGATCGACTTATGTATACGATGTCGTGATTTAAGTATACCTGGTATGGCATAACCGATCGAATATAATTTTTATAAATTAATAAAATGAATTTATAAATTATAGAACACAGAGAGATTGAAGCCGTTGTATCATGAATTGATTGATCAAGTGATAGATTTGAAAAATATTAAATTTTGAGAAAATAATAGCTTAGAAAAAGAAAATTTAGTAAACAAAAAATATGTATGTGCAGAAAGCTCACTTATGAATTTTTAATAATAGAAAGTTAATTAATAATCTACTTATCTCTTTTATTAAGGGGGTGTACTCAGTTAGGAGGCCAAAAAAAGACGAATCTTCGAGAATTTTTTTCAGAAAAGTATATGTGCATGTTTGTATGAAAGGTTTTATGTTCGAAAGAACCTACTTTGACAAAGTTTTCATATTTTTTTGTATGTAAAAATATTAATAAATAAATAAGTTATAGCTGTCCGGAAAGCCGTTTTCCAAAACGCGTTTTGCGATGACCATTGCCATTCGGAACTAGGTTATCTGAAATAAAAAAATCCGAAAGATTTAGTTAATATATGAATTTATCTAGTCTTTAATCGTTCGATATCTCGAAAAATTAAAGTACAACAAAATGGCGGCTATTCAAAGATAAACTTTCAATTATCATGAAAAACGGACATTTTTCGTCTATTAAAAAAAGAGAAGGTATTGGAAAAAAAAATCTTTTGATTAAAGACTAGGTTTACATGTCTAAAAAAAGCATGTAAAATTTCAGATTGGTCGGTGCAGTGGTTTTTGAGATATTTTGGTCACTGATTTTGAAAACATAGTTTTGAGATAAACGCGTTTAAAGTTTCGAGTACAGTTTACTACTTAATAACAAATTTTTCAACTTACACAGAGTCATCTATTCCAGAACCATATAGTACATCCTCTCTTGAAGTTGATGCTTCTAAAATATCAATTTGTTGTTGCCGACGACGTATTCTTTCCTTCGCACTAGACTGCTAGAAGCGCTTCGACGGACGTATACTCAAGATCGTATATCTCCGTGAAAATACAGTGGATTAACTTGAAATTTTCAGGGAATATTTCTAATATTATATACTTTAAGAAAATGTGATTTTTGAAAAATCGATTTTTTGAAATTTCTAACTAACAGCGAGTATATCCCCTTAATAAATTTAATAATCCATGATGGATTTGTGTTAAATGCTTTAAACTATACGTGCTCAAGTAACGTGATCTCGGAATGAACTAAAAAAACTCTCCTACATTTAAGCACTATCTATGTATTAACATTTGTGCCTCGAGATCATACCTTTACTTTAACATATTTGACCCACATACTCTGAACATGATTACATCGAAAAGCAATAATGAAATTTTCTCTTCGGCGAACATATATCCTGCGAATATTGAACGGCGGGAGGGATTTTTATTATAACGAATTCTCAACGTCAAAAAATTCGCACGAAAAAAGGATAGATCGGAACAACACGCCAATTCGAATCCAGAATATCTCCATCAAGTTGCAAATGGACCGGCGCTTGATCACAGATTGGAAATCGCCTCGGGAACTTGTATGACTGTAAAATGCGTGCCGCGAGCAGAAAACGACGTACATTTAGCACGTCATACAGATTGAAGCAAAACGTCACGATCGATTGATGCAAAGCAGAGTTGACGAAAAATTACACACTGATTCTGATTTAAAAGTTTCGCTAAGAAAGTTTTTCAATGTTGTCTCATAAGTATTACACGGGATTATAGCAAATTCTAAATATATCAGAGCGAGAAAGAGAAGGAGAGAGAGAGAGAGAGAGAGAGTTGTGAATTATGGAAATTAATTATGGATTTGATATACAGGAAATATGTTATTCCAAATTAATAATCTGTAAATATTCATTCTTTGTATAATGGAGCGATACTTTAATCGGATTTGACATATAGAACAAAACATTATACCAAACTAATAACGTATAAATACATGGGACATGTCCTTATATAATGGAGGTACTATATCGGATTTGATATAGGAAAAAAAACATTATTCCAAACTAATAATCTGTAAACATACGTTTATTGTTATATAATAACGTAATATTTTTACTATAACTAATTTAACATTTAACACATTTAAGTATAGGTTAAATTTAAATAATTACACACAATGTATTTAGCTAAAGGAAAAAGAAATTCGTATCTTGGAACTGCAGGGATATAACTAAAGTTATTTTATAGCTGATAACTTCGCTCATCGAATGCCCGTTGGACGGCTTTAAATAACGGCTCGACGGAGAACGTCTGACGGGATTACGAGAATTCGTTTCTGCCATTGCCAGCGGGAGAGATAGCGTGTTTCGATTCGAACGAAATGGTCGACTAGGCGACCCATGCGATGGATATATAGATAAATAGATTGAGGTTCACCCGATGAGATCCGAGGATCGCGCTAAGCAACGATCGCGAAGAAAAAGGCGAGTTTAGAAAATGGAGTAGACCCAAGATGATTGTTATCATTAATGTGTGTGGTAGACTACCTTCTTTTTTTTCTTTCTTCTCAATTCTATGCGATATCTTCGAAATTCCCATCTATATATTTTAGTAAAGGCGAATAATTTAATCTTTT